ACAGGACGGTGGTCGGATCCTAGATCATCGAGAGACTCGATTGCTCTAAGGTTAAGGGAGACTCCTTTAAATAGAGCATAGTCTAGCACGTCAGGAGCGTAGTTAATATTGTCGGGATAGCGGGTGACAGCGAGGGGGGCTGTAGACAGTTAGATCGAGAGACTGAGTGATATTGAGCAGCACCCTGCCACTACTAGTAGTAGTGCGGCAGGTCCATTCAGTATGCTTGGAGTTAAAATCTCCAAACATAATGACTGAGTCGCCTAATGCAAGGATGGCTTCGAAATCTTCCTTAACGGGGAGGGTAACGCCAGGGATATAGCAAGAGGCTATAATGATAGACTGGTGTCCAGTCATGGCTAATCTAGTGATAGTGGCTTCCATACTGGTAAGCGTCGGAGTGGGGATGTGGTAGCAATGAAGGGACTTTTTGTAATAAATGGCAGTACCGACGCCTTTGCGGTCGGGTCTGTCATTACGGAGAAGTGAATAATTTTTAATAGAGAGGCCTTTAGAGACCTTAGGGCTGAGGTGGGTCTCCTGAAGGAGGAGGAGGTCGGCTTCGCGATCTCGAAGAAATAGGAGGTTATTTCGCAAACCGCGGATATTGAACGAAACAAGCGACAAACCCTTTGGTTTGATACGACCGTGCGGTATTGCGGGAGCAGAGGGCTCCGGTATAATGTTTTTAATTTTTACAACGACTTGAGTAGATTGATGGGCTCAGAAAGAGCAAGGAGACGGTCCTGTGGTAACTGAGCAGTGCGCAGCTTACGCGCAGGGATAGAGATTTCCTCTATATTGATCTTATTCATAGTGCTATACACTAGGCTTAGATCGTCTGCTACAGGGTCTGCCTGTTTTTGTGGGGCGGCGGAGGGCTGCGGGATGTTGGTTGCCTTTGGGAACCAAGAGTTTATTGGGAGCGGCGTAGGCTGGGAGAGCGGAAGGCTCATAAGGGGCCGAGGAAGGCCCTGAGGTAGCCGATAGGGGCCCTGAGGGGGGCCGATAGATACCCTGTGTGGGCTGAGATGAGCCCTGAGTGGGCTGTGGTAGGGGCTAGCCCTGGCGGGGCATGCGGCTTCCAAGAGCCGGGAAAGTTCGGTCATTGACCTGGGGTGGAGCTTTGCGGCTCAGAAGTGGGCGAGGAGCGCGAGGGCAGCCTCTAAAGTTGTCCGGGTGGCCTGTTTGTCCGCATAGGACACATTCGGGTGGGGATTCGGAGCATTTGGGCCGAGGGCACTCTTTTGAGTGATGAGGTTCTAGGCACTTAACGCACCTGGGTGGGGCTGAGCAGTTGGCTTCGCGGCAGCCCGTAGAGTTGGCAACGGTGGCACTGCGCTGGGTAACCGCGCCGGTGTGGGGCTTCGACCTTTACACGCGACAGGCCGCACACAGTGCGTAGCTCGCAGAAGATTGCCTTCGCCTCCGGCATATTGGTGAGAACGAGGAGGGCGAGGTTAAATCTCTCGCCCCTGCTGCTGTGCATTTTGTGCACAGCCTCTATGGGGAAGCCTTGGGACTTAAGGTCTTCCAGAATGTCCTCGTTTGCGAGTTCATAAGGAACTCCGCGGAGGACCGCCATAACCTTCCTTTCTTCGGCGAGAGCGTATGTGTGATAGGACACTCGCTCGGCCGTGAAGAGACGGGTTATATTTCGGAAGTCTTCTATAGACGCCGGCATGATTTTGATGGCCTCGCCGACATTGGTGGCTTGGTCATATTTGAAACGCTTATCGTAGAGGGTTTTGGATAACTGTGTGAATTTCGCCTTGTCTCTGAGAAAGACAGGGGGCGGGGCTTGGCTTTTAGCTAATTTGGGAGCGCAGCGGGTTGCTGGCTTGGCGGTTGTGTCTTTCGACTGAGTGGCGGCAGCGTTTGGGGCTGCGGAAGTAGGGGCAACGATGGGGGCTGCGGAGGTTGAGGCAGCGGTGGAGGGTGTGCGGGCGGCGTGGCGGCCGCCGGGGCGGGGGAGTGCGGGAGGTCGCGGCGCGCTTCGGGCCACGCTTGGATTTAACTAGCGTGAATTGGGCCGAGTCTGTGATCGTTCCTTCAGAGTCGGATGACTCCGAGGAGCCGGTGGAGCTGAGGGCGATCCTTTTTCGGGAGGAGGAGGTAACGGACGTGGTGTCCGAGTGCTCCATATCGGAGTTGGGGGACGTGGGCGAGTCGTTTTGCGGGGTAGCCGCTTGGGTCGCTGGGAAAGCCGCGACGGCGGGCGGGGAGACACATGTCTTAGGGGCAATGGGAGAGGAGAGGATCTCGTTTATTTGGATGGGTAGGCCTGTGGCTTGGACGAATTGGGCGGCAAAGGCCATAAGTTGGCTCTCGAAATTGCTCATGTCTATGGCAGACATGATGCCTAGACATGATTTGGACAGGGGGGGAGTGACGATTTTAGTCTAAGAATCTAGAGGTCCCTGCTCTGAGAAAAACAGGGCCTTGGGTGGCAGATGGGGAGGACTGACGCTCTATTCCCAGAAGCTGGGGTCCCTATGTTCTGACACGAACAAGGGCTCGCTCTGAGAAGAGCAAGAACGATCTTCCAAAAACAGTAACAAACAACAAAGTAACAGTATAACAATAAACAATAACAGAACAATTAAAAGTAAAACAACAAACAAAACAATAAAAGCAAAGCGCGCTCGAACCTCCCCGCCGGAGCGAGGGTGCAAGAACGATGCAAAACAAAAGAACTCACCGACAGCGTCTGCTCGGCCGGTGTATGCCAGGGAGAGCGGGGCGCGCGGACGAGAGGTTGCATTCCGCACTAGGACGAAGCACGAACGAACTGTACGCACGACCGCTCGGGGGCGGTGCGCAGACGGAACTCGAGTTTTTTGCAGAAAAAGTATAACATAGATCACTTCATCCTTTCCACTTCCAAAGACTAGCTCGGAGAGATAGACAGCCAGACAGTTTTAGAGAGCAAGTCCATGGGTCACGCATAGTGTACATTTTGCCCATTGCGTGCAATGCGTCGTGTTCGATGGTAATCTGGTTATTTGTACGATTAGATATATAATGAATGGTAATATAATGAAACCATAAATAACCAGTGTGCGTGTGTCAGCTCCGACGTGTGAATGGAGTTTACTCTTGAAAACGATTGTTATAAAATTATAGAAGGAAGTAGATGAACCCTTAAGTATTTTTGAAATATTGCCGAAAATGAAGACAGATGATAGTACCAACGATACCGTTGACGATGGGACCAAGTGAAAATATATCGAGTCGATGAAAAAAAACATCTTTTCACGTTTTATTAGCTTTATTCATGCTACATCAAGTTAGTACAGCTTAATGAGACAATAATTTCATGAAAAAATTACGAAAATACTGAAAAACAAAACCTGCTGTGAAAATTAAAATAGTACCAGCTAATTATAGAGTCTGAACTCATTTATTTAGCTCGGTTCGAAACAATGCATAGGTATTACTGTACTTCGCTCACTCTACCCTTCCCGTTTACACACGTGCTGCCACCGCCCGGCCGACCCGTGTCGCCTCGCAATTAACAATGTGGGGTATTATTAATTAATTATTTGTTATTATTAATTATTAATTAATTACTCTAATTAAAAATTGATAATTAAAATAATTACAAATGGAGCTACTGTGGTCCTTTATAATGGAAACAAGGGAATGATTTAAAAATACTCCATTTAGTAAAAAGCTTGTTACAAAAATATGAAAAGTGTGAGGTTAAATTTTTCGGTAAAAAAGAAAAAAAATGTTGTTAAAAAATTAATCTTGTAAAATTAGTTGAATATTGTTTCATTACTTTAAACAGAATTGAGGAGAATTTGACATGGATTTTAGGAGAATTTGACAAATAGGTGTAGGCAACGATGCAACATATTGCGGCGATGCCAAACCAAAATTTATTAACTCAAATTTGCAGACGAAATATGAATTAGAGGCGGTAATCACAATAATACTTGAAAGTAATTATAATAGTTTTGACTTCTTCTTCTTCTTCTTTTTAAATTCAAAGTATTGGACGGATTAAAGAAATGAAAATCAATTAAAATAAAGTAAATGAATTATTTCCTAGATTTATTACTGATAGATTAGTTAACTATCGATCATTATTGCAATTGATTTTAACTACTACATTATTCAGTACCATTACATTTCTATTTGTACAAAATCAAAGATAAAAATGAAAATGTGTTTATAATTGTGTGAGTTACCTAATTACATAAGTTTAATAATTTCAATGTCATTTTTTGTAGTAATGAACTGCTTATTACATCAGGGGACAATTGATTGTCTAATTGTATTTAAAAATGACAAATATAACTTCTAAAGTCGTAGGCATAACTAAAGTTATAAAATAAAAGTTGGGAATGTCGTAATGGTTTAACGATATGTGGAAATAGTCAGTGATTACCGAAAGTATACACGATTTACGCGGTAGGCATTTGTCCCGGCGGGAATTGATATTTTAGTTTTCGAGACAGTTCCGTGGTAACGTGCGCGTGAGGTTCAGTTGTTTTGTTTTACGGCCGGTCTCAATTTCATACAATCAGTTATAAGTAGATAGCCATCGAAGGTAAACAGTTAAGTTTAAACTATCTGTTACTGTCGTTTCAATAACGTAATGTTCGATAGCTTCCCCGAGGTAAAAGATAGATAGCTCATGATAACTTTGGTTAACGCGTCCCTCCTAAGCGTTTTGTTTTTCCTTCGATGTAAATTGCGTCACGTTTTGCAATAAAATATTATGATTTATTTAAAATAATATGATTATTATAAAATGTTTTAAATTATTGTAGTTATTAGTTTTAATATAATATTGGAAATTATTCATCATATACATTTCTAAATTAAGGCGAGCATCAAATAATGACAAACTTTTATCTTAAAAAATTAAGCAACGAAACGCAACGCTTGGCGTTCGGCATTGACACATTGGCACTGGCCTGACTAGACGTTGACAGTTTGTGTTTTTATTAAACATCACATCAAACATCAAGAAGATTTAAATTTTGTTTATGTGTAGCAGTATTTTATCAGCGATAAGCATTAATATAGCTCAACAAAATACCGTAAGTATTGTGATTTCTTTGCCGTGTTGAAATGTAACAAACAAAGCTTGCATCTTTGTCTAAAATCCGCGCCAAGTGTAAAGCATCTATAAAATTTTGTTTCAGATGAAGGCCAATGCCCTTGGAAAGGACGAAATACTCTTCCTGATTGACTTGATTTCCAAGCAAAAAGTAATTACTACCAAGGCAACGAATGCTACAAATAACAAATTAAAGGAAGAGGCTTGGAAATCCATAGCGCAGGAGTTTAGTGCGATGGCGGGAGAATTACGGCGTCCTGAGCAACTACGCTTAAAGTGGGAAAACTTAAAGAAGTCGGCAAGGAAACGCAATGCATAAGACAAAATAATTTAAAGGTTTGTAATAAGTACATACATCAAATATTTCGTAACATTTTGTGAGATATACCTAATCATCTTAGAACACTAATATGTATTATTTCTATTTAAACATTTTTGTTTGCAGACCGGTGGTGGAAAAATGTACATCCCTCCCGATGAAGCACTGGACCGTGTAACATCTATGTTGGGTGCAACATGCACGGGGTTCACTGTGGAGTTTGGTGGTGACAGGGAAAAAGAAATGATGCCACCAGATGCGGTTGTGGAACTCATTGATTTACAATCTTTGCCGGAGCATTCAGGGGCTATTAATAGTGATTTGGTGATGGGAGGTGGTGGTGGTGCTTAGTGTGGTGGTGATAGTGAGAAAATTTTTACACCAAAAAGATTTATTTTTAATAATCCCTACAAACCTTGTAAGTTATATTTTACCACAGTTGTTAGTAGTGCTACTAAACAAAACAGACCATCTCTATGGTTTAGTGGTGTGAAAGCTTTTTGCATGTTTTTAACAACTTTGTGTTTTTTTTTCTGGTTCATCAGGAAATCTTAAGGCTGGTCACCCAATTGTTTGATGAACAAGCCAATGTGTGGAATAGGCATGTAGTACAGTTGGTTATGTGTGATTTCTAATGTAGTTTGGATATTAGTAGTTACCAATATGTTTTTTTATGCCGTCTCCTGTGCCTGATCTCTGTGGTCATCAGTCATCAAATCTATCAAACTAGGAGAGTGTAAAATATGAGAATTTAACTATGTTTTTTATTTTCACAGTAAAGACACGTCAAAAGCCCTCTGAAGAACTACAACGGGCTCAGATAAGAAAGGAGTTAGCCATGGCTGCTTATTTTGAAGCCAAAACTGAAGTAGTTAAACTTGAAAAAATAAAACTACAGTTAGAAATAGAAAAATTAAATGAGTGACCTGTGACTAATATAGTGCCAATGCTAAGATTGTGTAAATAGTGACAATAAGGTGTGTTCTTTAATAACTTGTGTAATGTTTTTATGAGGTTTACTCTAAAATAAAATCTATTTTGTACATTGATTTGTAGAGAAAAATTTCCAACCGCTCGATGATGCTTTGTTTCTATCGTATTTATTATTGTCGTAATAGCTATTTCGTAAAAGACATGCGGACATAGATTTCTGTGTGACATTGCAGTTTTCTTAGAGTGGTACCTATAATTAAGCCCTCACCGTTACTAGCTGCAATAGAGTTGAAATCAAATCCTATTGTCTAGCTTGAAGTAGGCTTGCACGTTGTTTTATATTAAACATTTTTGCTTTTTATCAGGCAACGGGGATCTAAATAAAACTATAGTCGATTAAGAAACTCATTCAATAACATGCCTTTCACATTATCGAAAAATACTAATTAACCTGGCCTTAAGAACACAGAAAAGCCATTACAGCTACAGCCTATCGAAAGTTCACTGCTTAACAAAATCTTTCTATGTGTTCTAGACGTACTTGCTGCTTAACATAAGCTTCCAACATATATTGTGGTTATTGGTGGGCCTAAGGGATTCCGAGTTCGTGTGCATAAAGGGCTTTACGGATTGTGTTACTCGACAAGACCTAATGTCCGCCATTTCCGGAAATGACGGCTTAGGACGTACTCGAAAGCAAGCCATCTGTGCACCCGATTGCGGATAAAATTACGTGCTAAAAGAATCCAATAATTCTGAAGCAAGATTGATATCAGCAGGTCGGGGCCAGCGTGAGAATTCAATTTATGATGATAATCAACTAATAAATTCATGATATGTTCCTTACGCGGTAAAACTATAGAGTGCCGTTGGTCGAAACTCAACTGCGAGTTAGACAAGCGCCCACCTACCCAGGACGATTCTATTGACGTTGAAAAGCGCGACTACAAGTTCTATTCGATTGCAATCTTGTAATTTCATCGGAAAAATGCGCACGTTGAAGTTCACGCAATACTAGCAACTCGGCATAGCTGTAATCGGACGCTACGATATACAAACGTCGCGGTAAAAGCTTCGCGAATCGACAAACGTAAATCACGCTATGCAATAATTTCGACCAAGAGGACAAACGGTTCGCCAAAGCAATGATTGGAGAAACCTCGCTCGAAACGTTCGCAACCAGAGCGTGCCTCTTCTCTTCCGATGGTTGGAACACTGACGAAGGGTCGAAATCGGTTACTGGCCACTGCGAGGGTTCCAAGTGAACCCAAGAAGGTCCATGGAACCAAAGCGAATGGTCCATTATTTGCATCGGGGTGAGTCCCACGGCATAGACTATCGGCAGGGTTTTCCATACCGTACACCTGATAAAATTTCCGCGATCCTAACTCGTCTTGGATCTTGGCCACTTGGTTCGCGACAAAAGTATTTCAACGGTGGGGTAAAGAATGAAACCAACATAAAGCGAGGGTTGAGTCAGAAAAGGCAAATATTCTTCCTATGTGAACTCTGTCACTACATGCACTGATAACTGCGGTGATAAGCTTGGCAAGGACTAATATCGCGCAGTAAGGGCGAGAGAGAGGGGAAGACTCTTGACTTAGAGCTAATGAGGCTGATCGAATTTCTACCATTATTCTGGACGTGAAAATATACAACGCCCCCGTAAGCCTTCTCGCTAGCGTCTGCAAACTCAACGACAGTGATGACGCTATTTCTATCGACGTTTATATGACGTGGTATTTTAATTTCGCTTAGTAAAGGAAGTTCCTCTCTAAAACGTAGCCACGAACGAACGATGCTATCAGGCGGCGGGTCATCCCAATCGCATTCACATAACCAAAGTTGTTTAATCAAAAGCTTAGCGTATAGAACCACCGCGGCTACGAAACCCATGACATCCCGTAATCTAGCAACGCATGATAGCATTGTGCGCTTTGTGCACGTTTCTGCGGGCGGGTTTACCTTAAGGCTAAACACGTCGGACACCGGTGATTAACACAAACCGAGCACCTTGTGCGTATCAGAATCGTCGAATTCCTTTATCGCCGAAAGGAGGTGTGATAGTGGGATTGTATTCAAAACCGTACGCGAATTACTAGTCCACTTGACGAGATCGAATTGACCGGATTTCATGAGCCTTATAACCTCGGCGGTAGTTAGGATGGCCTCCTCCACGCTATCGACCGAGTACACAAAATCATCCATATATAACCCACTGTCAATTGCCCTCTTAACTTTAGGATAAGAGGGACCCTCATCAGAGGCGAGCTGTCACCGTGCGTAACGCATGAAATGGGCTCGACTTTAAACCAAAGCAAACGCGATTATATTCAAACACCATTAGAGGTTCCTTTGGGTCAAAGCGAAATAAAATGCGTTGAAATCGACGGTCGCATTCACGGACCCCTATGCAAAGAAACATTTGGCGAATATCGGCGGATAGTGCTATCTGAACAAACGTAAATTTGCTATTATATTTAATAGATTGCCCTGTATATTTTGCCCACTATAGAGGATATCGTTAAGAGAAAGGTGAGTGCTAGTTCTAGCATTAGCATCAAGCACTACACGTAACTTGGACGTAAGTTTGTCTTCCCTAATGACACCGTGATGTGGTATGAGATACGAATGCGCGTCTTCGTAGTTATCCAATTTTGGGCCACAAGTGATATGTAACCTTCCCTTATATATTCATTAATGACGCCGTCATAAGCTTCTTTTAATCTGGGCGAAGCGAGCATCCTGCGCTCCAAACTATAGAAACATTTTTCCGCCATTTGAAGCGAGTCGCCGAGAGACAAAACATCTCCTTTAAAGTGTAGCGCTACTAGGTAGGGTACTATATCGACCGTCGCGATCACAAACGGTCGTGCGGACGTAAATTTCCTCGCATAATCTATCATCTGGACTAACTATAGATGGAACGTTCACCTCCTCCATCTCCCAAAATTTGCGAACTAACGACTCGAGCGGTTCGACAGCCAACAGCAATAAGAGGTTGCCGAAATATTATCCATGATAGAAGCGGAATCAACGATGACGTAGCCCAAGGCGGTCTCTAGTGCCTAAGGCGCGGTATGCGAAGGAGTTGCCCCTGACCTTATTGTGTAACAAAATATGAGGGAAAAGCGATGCTCCAATGAGCATGTCTATATCTCCGGGAACAGCGTAAGTATCGTCTGCCAGAGTCAAATTCTCAAAATCAATCATTGCCGAGGTGTCGACCGAAACGGTTGGCAGACGCTCGGTGACTTTATCTACTACTAATGCATTTATATTAAAGTTAATACTACGATCTAGCCGAGAATAAAATTTCAAATTTATAGAGCCCTGTATATTTTTATTGGTACCTCCAATACCTCTGACTACGGGACATGAAAGCGTCTTATTTACTAACAATCCTAAACGCTGACAACATTGTCGTGTTACGAAACTACTCTGTGAGGCACTGTCTAGTAATGCGCGAACACTCTGTTCGTTTCCATGCGAATCCCTAACTACGATAAGGGCTGTACCCAGCAACACGGTGGAAGGAGACCGCGTTCCCGTATTCGATAGTGAGCACAGGGCGACTTCACCCGGTCGACCGTTAGAAGCGTCGACTTTAGTGTGTGTAGTTTCCCTGTCCGATTTACTTAACGCGGATATGTTGCCACTTTCGAAATGTAATAACGTGTGATGTCTGCTGGCGCACTTGTTACACACGGAACTAGAATTGCATTTAGCAACTAAATGTCTATCGCTTATGCAATTTAAGCATAATTTGAGCTGAGTTCGATTCCCAGGTTGAGCCTTGACCCTATTGTGCGAGATGTTATACTAGATGGACTGTATACGCGATGGCTTCTTATGTCTCAACATGATGGCGGATGTGGCACGCGGCACATTGGACAATGCACTCGCTCTTCCAAAATCTATTGCTTGCCAAGGTTAGGAGGGAATTCTACTTGAGCACGTTAGGAGAAAATAAAATGGGGCGCGTTAACTAACAAACAAAATGCTCAAGTAGGAATAAAATTACGGGAAACACACTTACCGGGGTGTAATTCTGATGCGGCAGATGACGCTTCCGTTGCGGTTATGCGACGTGAGGTGGGTTCTTCTGGGGTGCCCCAGAGATGCGATCCAGGCCAGTGGTACGAAGGTAGAGAGCGGTGTGCGACGATAACTCACACTATGTGAGGCTTTACTTCTGGGACGCGACTGTCCCAGGTGGTGCGGTTCAGACTAGCGGCGCGTGGCAAGAGGACGCTCGAGGGTAGCGCGCGAGCCTTTATTGTTTCGGATTTTCCCACCAAGCACCTTGGTCGGGCGTGCTTCTCATTGGTCGAAAGAATCGCGTCACCTTCTAGACACTCCCCTTTCCCCTTTCAGTGTGTACGGAAGGGATATTAGGTCAAAGGATGGGTAAACGCTTGGCAATATACCCTCGAATAAAATTAAAATACACGAATCGTTTCCGCGTAACCATATTGTCATATTACGTATTGTCTTATATTATATGGGAGATATTTGCCATAGCTGCCATGTTTGGCAAGTGAGTTGGCAAACGCAATATAGTCTTTTATTGAGCTCTGTTGGTTCAGTTTGTGTTTGTGCAGTCAATATTATGACGATGGCGATGGTAATTCTATGTAAAGATGTCGATTTTTGGACCGATGTTAGATATTAAATTCATACAAGCTTAAATTAAATAAAACTTTATTCAAAACTTTTAGGTGCTTATTGCTTTTAAATTCCTGTTGATAGTGATAATTTATGTATTGGAAACGTAGTCATTCACTGCTGACCGTTTAAGGAAGGTCTAGGTCGCTGAGCGAGTTATGGAGATTGCTGTGCTCGGAGGTTCTCTGCGTGATAGATTTCGTAATTAGGATATTCGCAGTAGAACCACAGTACCCGTCATAGCCCAAAGCATCGGTAAACTGAAGTAGTTACAGGCCGGCCATATAGTTCGTAGAAACGACAACTGATGGAGAAGATAGGTTC